AGACTGCTGCCTAAGTCGATTGAATAAGCCTTCGGTAACTCTAGTGTCGTTCGAGCACCCTTATTTTCGTAAGTGGAAGCTCGCGACAGCTCGTAGTCCATTTCACCAGGAGCCATCATCGGAAGATGGATTGGAAGGACCCCACCAACATGAATGACCCGACCTATGCTGTTGTACCAAATAGTAACCACGCCAAGCTCCACATTATTTACCAGACTCGCCTTCACTAAGTCACTACTACTTTTGTTTGATATTCGTGTACTGAGACGAATGAATTTTTGTCCGTTCAAATTGCATGGCAGATGAATGAGCCGACCACATGGTAACCAAACTGTGAATCGAAATCCCTTTGATGGCTCAGCTTTGCAACTGCAAAGCAGCACGAAAAGGAAGACGAGGGTAAGTTGCATCAAATAGACTTCTGTCCAAATTTAAATGCTTCATGCAATCAATAAACGTAAAATCCTCACCGACTTGTCGTTAGTTGGTTAAACAACTTAACTTTGTAGGTAACTTGAGTATGAGGCGGTAAAACTGAGAAAAATGTAGCTTAAAACAAGTAAAACCTACAGAACACCACTAAAAGACACTGTCAATGCCGAAAAACATCTTACAATCTAAACAGCAATATAGTGATAAATGTCCAAATATTTATGATCTGACTGCGAATTTTAAATTATCGATACAACATTTTTTGAAGACCTTTGAGTCCCGATCCGAGCCCAATCTAAGCTCAAAATTCAAAGTAGATATAGTAGGTGCACAAGGGTAGTGCTTTTACAGATCTAGAAAGGACGCCCGGAGAGGCGGGATGAAGTGAGAGGAGTCGAAAAGTTACTTCGGTGTGAGCAAGGAGGAGAGGACGAGGAATCAGAAGAGGCGTGACGCCGATGGGGATGCGTCCGTGCAGGCGAGCGACGAAAACCACTGAAACCTCGGCAACAACGCGAGTGTTTCTCTCGCTTAAGCTGCTCGTGATCACGTGAATGCGGTGAATCCCGACGACCTGTAACCAAGGTAAGCAAATCATGTTGACGGTATTAATCGCTAAAGTTTATGCGACTAAACATTAACACAAACACATGCACTAACCTCGTGAGGAATCGGGTCTCCGTCCCTTGCAAGGATTGGAATAATGAGGGTCTGGAGTGCGGATAGAATGAGGCGACGCCTGCCGCTGACGCCGACATTGAGAGGGCGACTGAGACCGAGACGGCAGGTCCCGGGAAAACGAACGCGATTCGATGGGTGATGTATTGCGTTTGTAACGGTCATGACCACTTCGATTGCCGCTGTTTTGATTCTAGCACGAAA